CCACATGGGATCCGAACCCTCGGCGGGAGCGCCTCCACGCTCTCAAGCAGCGCACTCTCCAGTGCGCCACCGGGCCGGCCCAAAAGGCCGTTTTTATTATTATTATTATTTATTTATTTATTTATTTATTTTTCCTTTTTGTCTTTTTTACTGACCGGTAATGGGATTGCAACCCTCGGTGTTGCGCCCGCACCGCGCTCAGCCAGTGAGCGGGAACCGGTCTCCACATGGGATCCGAACCCTCGGCGGGAGCGCCTCCACGCTCTCAAGCAGCGCACTCTCCAGTGTGCCACCGGGCCGGCCCAAAAGGCCGTTTTTATTATTATTATTATTTATTTATTTATTTATTTATTTTTCCTTTTTGTCTTTTTTACTGACCGGTAACGGGATTGCAACCCTCGGTGTTGCGCCCGCACCGCGCTCAGCCAGTGAGCGGGAACCGGTCTCCACATGGGATCCGAACCCTCGGCGGGAGCGCCTCCACGCTCTCAAGCAGCGCACTCTCCAGTGCCCTTGGCGGGAGCGCCGCCACACTCCCAAGCAGCGCACTCTCCAGTGTGCCACCGGGCCGGCCCAAAAGGCCGTTTTTTTTAAACGGGAGAGACTTTATGTTTGCAGTCTGAATGCATGTAAGATCCAGGAGAAGAGGGAAGATTGAAGACCCAAGAGAGGAAATGATTGATGGAGCAAGGTTCTGGAGGAGGTGGTGGGAGGAGGGGATGGGGGAATATTAAAAGCACGGTGATCGTTGACAGTCATATACAGCCCTTTATCATGAAGCAGAGGCAGCTCTCTCTGCCCACCACGTGGGGCCCATGAAGCGCCCAGACTTAGGAAGCCCACAACCATGTGGGGATGAGAGGGACGGAGGAGGGGCTCGGGTGACAGAAAGGGACAAGACAAGGGGAGCTCCCTCCTCCTAGGCCCAGATCACCATAAACCACTAATTCTGTGCAAGGTCACATAGAATACAGTGGTTGAGTCCACCTAAAAGCTCACTGCACCCCAGAGTCTTGGCCCATCACCCTGGACACCCCTCACAGGACCATAGGCCCATACCTCCTCCATTGGTATAGGCGCGATAGGGGAAACGCCAGACGTTCCCCAGGCCCACGCAGTAGCCAATGCAGGACAGCAGGAAGTCCAGCTTGCCTGTCCAGTTCCCCCGGTCTGCAGCAAAGTCCACGTCCAGGTCGACATCACCCTGGTCACTGGGGGTCATCAGCAGGTCTGGGGTGATGGGCTGCCAGTAAGAGAGACCAAAGGGGTGAGGGAGAGGGTGAGGCCACGCTGGAACTGTGACCCCCAAGACAAGAATATGGAATTGAACAGGGCTAAATGGAAAGACACTCTATTAATTCAGATAATCAAGTGCTCTGGGCTAACACAGTCATGTGCAGGAGTTATGACCTGCATATCACCACGGTATAGGTGGCTTTTAGGTGACTAAAAACTTACTGGACCAGCAAAGTGGCTTGGGAAGTAAGAAAGCTACCTTGATCTTGGTTTGGCTAACACAGAGGTCAAATCAAGGAACGGTCCTATTTTCCTGATGATGATGACAACAATGATGATGATCTTAGTAATAGTTATGGTGTATTGGGCACTTACTATGTGCTCACTGCCCTAAACATTTTACTTACATTGCCTGGTTTCATTCTCGAAACAGTTCTATGAGCTAAGTACTCATCTAAGCTCCGTTTTCATCAGGAGGAAAACTGACGCCCAAAGAGGTATCACGACCCAAGATTTTAACCAAGTCGACTAGTGGGAGAACTAGGTCTGGAGCCCAGAGCTTCTGATGCTAAAGCTCATGTCTTCACGCACCAGTGCTGGAGTTTTGTTGCTCCATTCTGGGCACCATATTTTAAGGAAGACACAGCAGTGCAGAGCATGTCCAAAGGGCAGGTGGCCAGATTGGAAGGTGCTCAGGCAAAGAGGTTACAGGAGGACAATGGGAAGAAGCTGGGAGCCCTTAGCACAGAAAGGAGAGGACTTGGAGGGAATGTGGGCTCCAATGAGGGAAGGCTTGGAGTTATGCTGTGTGGCTTTGTGAATGTTGGCTCATGAACAGGAAGAAGCTACTTAAGCCCTGACATGTCTCAGAAAGTCATAATCTTCCTGCCACTGGAGGGGAGATGAAAGCACAGAGGGGAATGGAAACCAGCTGTCCCTAAGGTCCCCTTCCACAATTCAAGGCAGGCAGGGAGGTCCATGGAACATTCTCCCTCTGGGCTGGGGCTGGGAGATGGAGGCCCTCCTCCAGTCACTTGGGATGGTGGTCCTGAGAGATGTGAGTTGGCATGTTCCTGAGTTGCCCAGGCTTAGTTCCTGGAAGGAAGCCCAAAGATACCAGTATGACTGTCTAAAATTCAGAGAGAAGTTCCTATCAAGTGACCCCAAGAATGGGTCAGGAGAAAGGGGCAGCCACCCCTTACTTGCTAGCCTCTGACATTCATACCCTATGGCAAAGAAGGACGTAACTGCAGCAATCAGCAATTAGCAAATAATGTCCAGGGTCTCCAGAGAGGAGAAAGGATGCCCTGCTTCCTGCTGAGGAATGCTTGTAGGAAAACCATGATACCACTGGGCAGGAGTCAGGAGATGAAGATTCTAGTCCAGGGTCTGTACTAATTTACTGAGTGTCTTTAGGAAGGAGTCTTCTGAGCCTCAGTTTCCCCATTTATACAATGAGGGGATTGGACAGATCTGTGTTTCTGAAAATATATCCCTTGGGCCATTCATAGGTATTTGGTGGAGAAAATGGTTCTTGAGTTAAAGAAGTTTGGGAAAAGCTGGGATAATACAAAGTAAAACATGTTTCTTTGCAGCATGATTTGTCAGATCCTTTAATGGACCAATACGCACAGTGACTTTCCAGATAGGGACTAGATTACGGTTTTCTCAAATTCTGTTTAATAAAAGAGTCTCAAGAAGCTGACATGCTAGGAAATACTTGGGGAAATGTGGGTCTACACAGTCTTGAATGAGCCTCTGCTCTGATGGTCTGTGAGGCAGGATTCACCAGAGACTTGAGGAGCAGACCAGAGCCTAGCTCAGGGACTCAGAACATAGCTACTGGCCCAGTGTGTGTTTTCCTGTAAGATTACTCACACAAATCAGGTGGTGAGAGAGGAGGCTTGGCCGGGGAATAGTTGCCTGAGCATTGCTGGGGTGAAGATGTGAAGGACAGGGATGGTACGAGGCTCACAGGATTGGAGGTGTCTAGATGTGATGACATGGCTGAGCAATGGGCTCAGGTGGCAGCACTGGGGTAACGGTGTTGGGATGACTCTCAGTGACAGTGGTGAGGATCATTTGGGGAATCTTGCCTGAGGCTGGCTATTGGCCAAAGGGGCAGTGGTGACATGGACAGCCTGACATGATTATGGGTGATGGTGACAATGATGAAATGATGAAAAGCTGTTTTAAAAGTAACTAGGCTCCAAACGTTGAAACAAATATGCAACTGGCGTTCATTTAGCTGTGATCTTGGACACGGTGATGTGAGGGGAGACCCCTCCTTTCCAATGCCCCTTTCCCCAAGGCTGCCTCTCCAGCTGAGTGAACATCAGCTTTCTGGAACCTCTCACTCCCAGGTGAGCCCCAGGAGGGATGGGGTAGCAGCCAGTTAACACTGGCTCCAGGCCTGTCACCCTAAAACCACACCCCCCAGACCCATTCAGGCCAGCTGGCAGGAGGTCCTGATAATGAGGCTCCTCTGATCCCTCCAGAGAAGCTGCCCTTTCCATGCTCACAGAGCAGTCCTGGCTCGCTGTTTCCATGGTGACAAGAGTTCCAAGAGCAGAATGCTGCCAGCTTGTCCCCCTCCTCTCCTAATCAGAGGGAGATTGCTCTAGGGGCAGGGGATGGGGTCCTCCAAAGCTGAGCCAATCAGGAGCCCACCTGAAGCCCCCAACCCCACTATAGGGTGAATCCCAGGAGGCTGACACAGTGAAGATGGGTGGGACTGGTCGGGAAACAGAGGAAAACAACCAAATAAATGGGGCAGTGTTGGAAGTTTAGTGAGTCGCTTCATACTTCCTCCTGGGTGTGAGCCCACTCCTGAGCCCCTCACTCCCCATCCTGGGCACACACAGGAACACACTCTTGAATTTGCCACCCATGCACCCTCTCTTTTAGGGACCAGCAGATGCAGGTCCCCATAGCAGGTGTTGGGAGACTCAGGACTGCCCAGCCAAAGCTCTCTCATACCTTCTTCAGGACAGAGAGCGACAACAGAAATCTGGAGTCCAACTTCATCATTGTGCAGATGAGGAAACTGAGTTTCAGGGAGGGAAAGGAATGAGCCCAAGGTCAAACAGTTAGTCAAGGGCAGGGCAACACTAAAACCCAGACCCCCTGACTTTCTGTCCAGTGCTCACCTCTGAATAATGCTGCTCCTTTGCTGATACCTGGCATTTTCTCGCCCCTTGTCCCATTCTCCTTGAGACCACGGAAGGAGACCCTTAGAGGAGGGGGCCACACCCCTCCCCTTCTAAGTTGCTTAGCCCACCTTCATGTAAGCTGTAAGCATCCCCCTCCATGCCTCAGTTGCCTTGTCTATAAAGTGGGGATGATAAGACCTGGCCCTTGGCCTTGTGGAAGGATTAAATGAGATGAGGTTTGCTAAGCTCCCAGACTAGCACCCAGCTAGTGCTTCGTGGCAGAGAGGGGCAGGGGCTCTTGTAGAGAAGGAGAGCAAGGAGGGGAGAGAAGGATAACGGAAAAGAATGGGGACAGGCCCCGAGAGGAACTAAGAGACCCACAAATGACCCCAAGAAGTCACTGGTGTCAGCGAATAAAAAAGACCCACTTACCACAGTGGTTCCCTGCCCAAGGGCAGAGAGCTTGAACGGGTATGTATGTGGGGGAAGGGGGGAGTGGATAACACGGGGGGGGGGGGAGC